TTGTAGGTTTGATGTCAATTTGGCTTCTACCTGTTTTTATTGTACTATGATGGTGACCCTTCTCTTCGTCAAATATAAATTGGGACTTTCTGAAAATCTTAACGGCAACACTGCCTACGCCTTATTAAAACAGCTGTCGATGACGTTCCATTTGGCGCCCGAGTGCAGTTTCAACATTTTTGAGAAATTGAAAATTTTAACGCTATAGAAAATTTCGGCTTTTATTTAAATAAAATTATTACTTGTTTGAATTCGTTCAATAAAATAACTAAAATTATCATTGCGTGATGTTAGGCGACGCAGAAGCCGGCTGGGATGATGGCATCAATTACAAGGCTATATCGTGAGTACATATATGTATTTCAAAACAGGTAATTTTAAAGGCGAAAGTTAAACATTTTATTATTAGATGCGAAAAAATACCTGACCTTTTCTTGGACAAATTGGTAGCCAAGAACCACTTCAGCAAATTCGGCAAAATAACACGTTTCATATTGCGTCCAAGTCGTCAAAGTTGTACAGTGGAGTATGAAACAGAAGCACAGGCAGAACGCGCTCTGGATCAGGCAGGTTATTATAATGGGATTGAGTTTCAGATAGAATATGCTACACGCGAAGTTGCACATGTGCAAAATACCGAAGAATGGGTAAATCCTGAAGTACAAGCTGAATTGGATGCGATGGGCCTTCGTCAGACTCTACCCATTTATAGAGTGCCGACTACGGCCATGTTCTCGGCTTCAAAAGCTGCGTCGTTGCGAACACAAAAGTTTCCGCTACCAGCAACAAAGCCTGGAAAATCGGATACGCCGACGGAGGTTGCCANTTTAGTGGCTGAGGATCCTTCCGTATTTGATAAAAAAATCAACGCCGAAAATTTGACAAAATGCCTTCAATCGCTAAAGTATATGTATCATGACTTGCGCATCAAAGGTGTGCATTGTCCATGTGAAGCAGAATTTCGTAGCTATATTGTTTTGTTGAATTTGGGCGATTCAAATTTCCTGTGGGAATTGAAACAGTTGCCAACACACATACAACATTCAAAGGAAATTAAGCAGGCTATAGCTTTTTATAACGCAATACAAAATAATAACTACGTACGCTTCTTTAGCAAGATTCGTGGATCCGAAACGTCTTATTTGAGTGCTTGTATTCTACTTGGCTATTTTAACAAGTTACGTTGGCGAGCCATGGAGGCCATTAATAAATCGCACAACTGGAGAAAGAATGCTGTGTTAATTCCATTGGCATATCTGACAAAAATCCTTGGTTTTGAAGATGAAGACTCTGCAGAGCAATACTTTACTTATCATGGATTAAAATGTAATGGCGATTCACTGTTGTTGGATCGTTTAAAGCGGCCAGACATTGACTATTCCATGGAACGTGCTTTAAATGTGAGTTGGAATTTCGCAATTAATGTAATATTTTTCTAATTAGCAAAACTTTCTTCTGCAGCTGGTCGAGTCGAAGCGTACTGTTAGTGTAGGTGAATGTGTTTGCGGTCATACTCTGGAATCGGCAGATATTTTCGAAAATAACGTGCCTCACAACAGCTTCGATGAGAATGGCATACTTAAAACAATCGCCTGGACAGCAGATGACCAATTGCGAGGTGAGGCGGCAGAACAGTGGAAAAGGCAACGTGAACTGGAAATGCAGCAGCGCCTGCAACAGGATGAGGCCGCAAAAACGCAGAAACGTTCTAATTCACCCGCACTCAGCCTCCCACAAATAGCGCCACCGCCCACCATTCCTACGGATTCGAGTATTTTTAAGGTGCCATTGGCTTCGCCGCCAATTCTACCTAAGCAGCACCAACAGTTCAAAACGCCACAACTTGTACAAAAATCGGTCGATTCCTCCATTTTCGGCGGTAACCAGTTTGCAGAACCAATGGCAAAATTGCAATCATCATCGTTAGCCAATTTTAAATTTGATGCTCCACAAAATACTTCCAGCGCAAGCAATATTGCTGGTAGCGTATTCGATGCTCCTGCAAAAGATAATGGCAACTCTTTATTTAAAATTCCTTTTGCCGCCGCTAAACCTGCCGCCACTATTGCTAGTGGATTGGGTAATTCTATCTTTGGTGGTGATGCATTTAAACAACCGCAACTACCATCTGCTGCTGGTGTTTTCTTATTCGAAGATGCTAAGAAGCGTGTTAAGAGCGATAACATTTTCGGCAATGTCGCCAAATCGTCAGCAATCATTTTTCAGCAAACAAAGACCCCAAATCCAGAACCCATGCCTAAAGATAGCGTGTTTCAGCATTTCAACACGCAGCCGGTGCTGCCAAACTTTGTTGAACCCCATTTAGAGGTCAAGGAAGAGTCGAAAACTATTTTTGGCGCTGCCGCTTTTCCGCAGCTATCTTCAGCACTGCCGCAAGCAGAGACGGCTAAGCGCATAGCTGAAGCTGAACTGGGCCAGCAAAAAGAATTTGAAAGACAACGTGAACTAGAAACAGAACAGGAGGCAGCAAAGATACGTCGCGAAGAAGCGGAAAGGAAACATCAGGAAGCATTAAAACTTCTGCAACAACGTGCAGAACGTGTTAGTGCTGATGAGCTGGAAAGCGTGCTTGCCACACAGGTGGCTGTTATTGCTCAAAGCGAACTAAGCAAATACCAAAAGCTTCAACGGGACTGCGAAGGTATTACTGAGGCATTGCTTGACCAATCTATAGCTATGCAACTCGAAGAGTTGGCCAATGAAGAATATGCCATGATGTGCCACGATCAGCTTATCCTCAATCGCTACTTTGAACGCTGGTTACGCTATACACGCAAGAAAAAGAAGCAACGCGCTCTAATGGAGTCCACGCCCGTTTGGGTGACCATGGACACACGCGCTGAACAAACTGCCAAAATAAGGCATCCCAACCAATCAGAAACTTTGCAGATGATCAAGCGTTATCGACATGGCGAACCGTGTAATTTCCAACTGCTACTTTGGAAACATCCAGACACGCCGTCACCTCCGTTTCAGTGCATCGACATTTTCGCGGTGGTGCGCGCACATATTGCACGTAAAACGATAGTAAAATGTGGCCACATGCAAAGCATCAGGTACTTTAAGTTAGTGCTGACGCTGCCCAATGATGACGATGAATTGCCCGGCTTCGAAAGTCTGTGCAACAAGTGGCTGCGCAAGCATGTGAAGCGTATCAATAACGGCAACACTTCGGAAATGGATGATACGTACAATAGGAGTCCATACATATGCGCCATGGAGCGTGATGTGGCATTGTGTGTGCGTAAGGTGAGCGGAATTCCGCCACTAACAGATAGGGGCAATACAGTGTGTAACGAATGCGACAACGCGGATGCAATTATCTGCCTAATGGGTTGTGACAGCATACAAAACACGCGTAAGCGCATGCATCACCTAATCAAATTGAGCCGACTGAACAAAGCTGTGCCAGTAGCTTTCATAGTCTACGACGGCCAATATACAGATGAGCTGGAGTTGAGCGATATACTGGAAATGGAGACATTAGTGGACGAGGGCAAAATAGCGGGTTACAAATTTTTTGGTTGCCAGCAAAGCAAGAATGCATTTTCATTCGTACAACATATGGGACGTGCATTGCGTTACGTGGTACGAGAAAGTAGCTTCTGCAACCAATCAACCGAAGCATTAGAGATGCAAAATCTGCAAAGTTTCCTAGAAGCATGTTTGGGTGAAGAATTGTGGCAGCGCTGGCAACAATCCTCCGAACAAAATCCATGCTTTGCTAAGATTTGCGCCATACCGCAGCACTTGGCGGAGCTGTACAATGAAGCGGTGAAGCGTGTCATGCAAATCACTGCAGAAGACTTTGCCGATGCGGCAGAGCTTGCGGAGGAGCTGCGCGAATTTGTGCCCAAATTAGAGGTCGATATACCGCTTGGCTTTGAATACTTCCCAAAGGATTGGAAATCTGCGCAACGCCGACATCAGATTTCATTATTTTTGCAGCGTTTGTTGTTAGCACCTATTGAAGAGGCGCCACAATTCCATGAGGTCGACGACTGGGAATTATGGTTGCTGAACTATGCTAGTCGTTGCATACCAAATGATGAAGAGATCGCCACTGCCGCTAGTTATCAATCAATCAGAGCACTAATTGAACAGCTGAATCGTAGCGATTTATCCCATCTAGATGTGGTCGCACGCTTCCAAGTAATAAACTATTTGCCTGTCATGAAAGCCATAGCCTACGCACAGATAAATGCCGTGCTCAAGGACTACATCGAAAAAGTCAATACCAACGATTACAAATTACCCAACGAAATCATTTATCATCGCCAAGCGCTTGAGGATTATAAGCTAGTGCCGTGGTGGTTAAATAACGTGGCGGTTAAAGCGGTGAAAATAGATTACTCTGCTATTGAAGAACAAGATACGAGTTTGCAGGATAAGGAGCTAGAAGACGAAGAGGCAGCAATGAACTGCAAGATGTTAGACGAAATTATAAAACAAGCTGAAGAGGTTTCACGCAAAGCGGAGGCAAATTTTTGCTCATTGAAGAAGCAAAAAATTAGCGCGGATACAGCGGAGCTGGCACGTGACTTGGATGCTAGCATCTATCAATTTGAATTGTCAAAACAAATAGGATGCTATGATGCCTCCTTTGTGTCAAAGGCAAGTGAAATTAATACCGACTTAGAAGGGGCAGTTGGAGGCGCTATTGCAATGAATAATAGAAGCAGTGGCGGTGATAGCTTTTCTAAAACGCCCACAAGTAGAAAACGTAAGCATATCGGAGGTGCTCATGCGGAAGTTAATGAAATGGAAGCGGTTATGGCACGCGCTTTTAATGTTATTGAGAAAGCGGAAGCGAAACAAGACCGCGCCGAACGTCTGTGTAAGATGGCTATGCTAGAGCTGGAATGATTGTTGTCAAGTGTATGATTCGATTCGACAATATTTATATGATAACTTATTAAGGGCGGGGGGATGAATGCTAAATTATACTAAATTATATTACATATGTATGAACGTAGTTATATCAAGAAAGAATTAGGCTTCAAAATAAATTTTAACTATAAGGACGTTTTAGAAAGTGCATTTATTTATTTTAAAAATAGTTTAAAATGCTAAAGAGAAAATTATAAGGGAGACCTCTAACAGACAGGAGACTGGTAAAATAGTTATTTACGCGGCGGACAGTCGATGGACATTGGACTCGTGTGATCGCTCAAAAATCGCGCTCGGCCACAACCAGAGCTACGGAGACACTAATGGCGTATAAGCGTCTAGCAGGTAAATCTTGATGGGTGTAGCCCAAGACTTTGATTTGAGTTTAAGTCCTCTCTAGTCTTGGAGTGCATTGAGAATTTTTACGCCCTTGTCGATTACAATATGGATACCAGGCCTCAGGGGAACTAATCGCGAGGGAATAGATGAGAATGACGTAGTGGATGGCTTAGCCGGAAAGGCAGCGGCCTCAACTGCCACAGGGACAGAGCCATTCTTTGCAGTAGGTTGAAACACAATCAGTGTAGAGATCAGGAAGTAGATAATCAAATTCAAAGTCATTCGCCAAGCCAAAAGCTTAATGCTGGTAAAAACTGGACAGATATGGGCTTCTAATTAATAATAATAATAACCTTTTGGCGCTTACGATTTTGCTAAGTGTTGGGATTACTTTTCCTCCAATTTGTTTTACGACGCCTCCGAACAGCAAATAGATTACTACGGAGTGGTAGTATGCACATCTAACCACTCAGTCAAAAGAAATAAGGGATTTTCATAGGCGTGTGGTTGTAACGGCACTGTTAAGCCCTGCCTAAATCGGCTAGTCTATCTACGGTTGCCGTCAAGCTCAACTAACGGTAGACGGGAGAGGGGTATTAGCTTAGTGGGTTTGATGGAGTAAGTGAAGAGATGGTTGCTGTCGTACGGGAAACCTTAACAACCCGGAAACATGTTGGGTATCGTGACCTTAGGTGGTAACCGATGTCGTTTATGTATACATATGTATGTATGTAAATATATTGATATTATGTATATGTAGATAAGCTACGGGCTAGATTCACAAATACCTTATTAGCATACTATTTAAAAGTAGTTTGAAATTAGATTTGGAAGAAGCTTATGAAGCATCACAAAACAATCTTAGCGCGACTGAAATAAATAAATTAATAAATATTTTGTGATTAAGAAAAACAGACGTATCAACAAAGAGATGATTAAGCTGCGCGCAAAATACATTTTCACAAATTGACATCCGCTTTCTACCCTATTATGAAAAAATAGATGTATTCATACATGCATAGTATATGTCTACTTGAGAAATTCAAATAATTACCAGCTTAATTTCACAACTTGCTAATGTAAAATGTTGATACCCCAAATTCGCCTTATCTCTTATCATCGACGAACGTAAGAACTGCATGAAATATCAACAACAATAAATATTATTGTACTGCTGAGCCTTAAGTACACTTGTCAAATGTGTATGCATACTATTTTCGGCTTGATTCGAATCGGAGATAAACATGTTTTTGCAATGTTGAATAATAATGAAAAGCTGCTTTTCTGTTGAAGAACTGCTAATTTTTTATTAGAATTCAAGCCCATCAGCAAATGCTGCTTAATATTATTCGTGCTATAATGCTTAATATTTGGCACGAACTTGAATACAGTAAGACTCTAAACTACCGTATTTTTTTACGGGCCTTCACCTATTTCATAATTTCACGCCATAAACTTAGTGACTAAAGATAGAACTAACATTCATTTTATAGAAATATAGGGTTGTTCTTGGTTCTTCTCCTATAATTTCAGTGTCAACAGCCAACAACACTAAATGCTTTGTTAATTATTTTGTTTTGATTACTCACCATGCGCCTGCAGCACGTGCTTGTTGTGAGTGTAATAATGGCATTTTTTTGGTTCTTTGCCAATTAACGCTTACTTCTTCATTCTCGTAACACAAATATGTTTTCTTTGCGTAGATTATTCTAGAACGTCTTGCCTACAAAAACATTTGTTGTTGTTGCTGCATTTTCTAATTAACTGACACATTCACTAAAAGAAGTTATCTTCAAACTTGCAACATTTAACATATAAATTTGTTTTTCTTTACATTCATTAGCAATATGTATATATTTTGAATTACGTTGAAACATAAGGGAAATTTATATAATTGCTAGCAAGTTTATGCCATTCCAATAATTTACTGCAAGTGATGTTGAGCCTTGCACTGTCGTAGCGCCTCGTTGAAGCCCTCGCAGAGTGTCAGGTCGGATTGACCCTGAGCACATTGCAGGAACTGCTTGATTTCCCAGGTGCAAGGGCCTTGGGGCTCGTTGGGCTGAGCGCCGTTAGCAAGATATTGTTGAGCTGGTGCCGAGGCAGCAGGGGCGGCTACTTCTTTATCGCCAGAGCCACTGAACAATCCGGTTAAGCCGGCCCCGATGGTATGACCCTGAAATTAATAAGTTTTTAGGTTAATGTTAATACATCGTAAAATTTTATAATTTTTGGGGAAAGGTATTATACCGGGAAGCAAAATTAAATTAACTGATTTGTTTATATAATTTAATTTATATATTGTTTTGCTATTCCAATTACTTACCACTGCTGATCCAACGGCTACGCCGCCAGCGGTAGCTGCCATCTGCTGAAACATCGATGGTTGCTGTGGTGCGCCAACAGCGCTGGGTGCAGCTTGTACAGGCGCTGGTGGAGCAGCGGGTGCAGTGCGTGCTGGCACATTTGGTGTTGGTGCCGGTGCATGGCGTGTAGGCACGCTCCTGGGTTATAAGGAATAGAAAAATCGTTATATCATGTATTTGTTTGGTTTCATCACTGCGCATTGCGTTTCGATACTAATCGAGCGTAATGTTCGAGAAAGTTGTGGGGCTGTTACGCAACAACTAAATGTGTTCGCCGTACATCAAAATTTCACCAACAGCTTTTCTTTACGGTTTATCATCAATAATTGCACTAATTAATTATAGAAGTACATTTTTTAAGTGGAAATGTTAATAAACCCGACAAATGACCTAGCACTTTGTACCCATGTGGTTGTAAGCGTCACAGATCCACAATTTTCCTACTGCAAGAAATGGCCAATGGACTTACCTCCTGGTAGCTGGTGGTGGGCTAGCCGAACGTCCACGTCGTACCATGTTTAAAAATTTTCTTTTTTAAATAATCACAAAAGTTTTAAACAATTAATTATACTAATATTTGGTATTCGCTCGAAATTTCACTTATATTTGGTTTGGAGCTTTTCGCTTTTCACGACTTAATTCTTGCTTTTTCTCTTTTCAACTGACGTTTAATTCACAGCTATGTGTCTTTTATAAAAATTCTGATTTGCCAGAAATTTCCTTCTGCTGCTTCTGCTTCCAAAACAGATTCGCATTTGATCCCTAACGGCGCGTTTACATTAGACAATGCTGTCAAGACAATAAAGAAATACGTCTTAGTTGTCAAAAACGCTGATAATTGTCTCCGTGGCATAAGCGTCCTGACAATAGTTATGACAATTCATTTTGAGCAAAATGTCGGATGTGAACGTTGTATTATAATACGCATTTCCCGCGAGCTATTTAAACTAAACACTAAAAAATAATAATTAATAGACAAAGTTACATACCCATCAGCGTCTCTTGTGTTATTTTAGTTCCTTTGTTATGAATTTCTCTTCTTTCTTGCACAAGGCGTCAAAATTATTGTCTGCATACGTCAAATCACTGTCCGATTTACTTCATGGACTAGGTTCACACAAACTTTTGTTGCTCATTTTCGGCAATTTCTCTTTTGGTGTTGCCCTTCGCGTTCACACAGAAAAATTCTTTTGTACACAATTGTTTTTGTCAGCTGTGAACGGCCAACTAGAATTACACAGACGAACGAAAGCGTGTTGCCCGAGCACGAGCAACTCGGTGCCCTTCCTCGTCTCCCCCTCTCACACAAGTAACGAGTTGCCGGGAGAAAGGTTTCTCCGTCTGAACCTAGACATGACAGTATTGTCCGGTGTAAACCCTAACATAGGGTTTTCAAAAATTTCTAAACTAAAATATAATTGTTATTTTCGTCAAATATTAAGTAAACAATGCTTAAGAAACTTTAGATGCACTTAAAGTTGCTAATACTTTCACAAAATACGCCATTTTTTAACATTTTCGCTATTAATTGTTTTTATAAATCATATATTTTGCAATTTAACACATTAAAGCCACTTTGTGTGGTAGATGCCATGAACGAAAGACACAAGATCACGCGGGAAGGAAAGAACGAAAAAAGTTATTTTCTAGCTGCCGAAATCTCGACGCCATCTTTGTTGTAAGAAGTAAACAACGAAGAGAACGGAGAAAACCGCGAAATTGTTGAACGCATGAAAAATCATTTTTATTATGCAAATTCTTCTATAAATCATGCCGTTGTGTTAAATTATTCTTTATCTTATGTGTACACACGTTGTCACAAGCGAAAATGAAGAAAATTGCAGTAAAAAGCCACCACCAAATTGTAAACAACGAAGAAATGTAAATAAACGGCTAATGCCAAAGTCGGCCAACTTTTTTCCTAAATGCGATTCTAACGGGCTAGTCTCCAGCCCGCGTGATCTTGTCTTTTTGGTTCATGATGGATGCTCAAAAAATTTGCAGATCTATCACAATGTGGTTAGAGTCCGATCACTGACGGGATGGCATCACCGGGAGTGCACGACAAAAAAGCGATGAAATTACGCAAAGCAAAATGTGATGACATATCTGTCATGCTTTATTTTGATTACTTTTATTTTCTGTTCATTCTGTATTTTCTTCTCGAACGTTGTGGACGCTTTTTAAACAATAAAAAAGTTCCCCTTTTGCATTTATTCAGAAAAAAGGCACTAAACTAATTGTGACTAATCTATCCCACATTGTAACAAATAGCCATCATTGAAAAATCACAGTAAAGAAGCGTAACGTGGTGCTTAAGTTAATGGTTAAAACTCATGGGAAAAATTGATGTGCATAAAAAACTTGAGCTATAATTTACGCCACAGTGAATGACTACTGCGTTTAATTTAAAAGCGGAACGAAGACTCTGAGTACTACTCGCACTTGAAAAAGGGTGATATCGTAGCCAGAGAACGTCCTCTGTCGTAGCCAAGGTAGTAGGTATGTATGTATATTTTTATGCATTACAAAAATAATTTGTTCTTAAATGTTACAATAACTATTGTTTAAAACTGCAACTGTAGTTTAAACCATGTTTTTATCATTGTTTCAACTGTAATATGTACACATATTTGTATGGGCACACATGTAGTGTTTAATTTTACATTCGCTAATACATACTATGTTTGCTAAATCTTACAGTGTGTGTATGACCCAAAAAGTCACCCTCGTCTTTCGCAATATTACATTATACCTCCCCGTATACATACATCCACCTACTTTATAGCAAATAATTTTTCTGCTTTGTGTGTATGTATGTATTTATGTGTTTGTTCGCAATTCATCCACTTTTACGTCCTTGTCACTATTTCCCAATCAGCCACCATGCGTTCAAACCACCAGCGGAGCACCATATCACTACGAGCAATGCCGTCAGCAGCAATTTCTATTCATTATATTCAAACATAGATTTACATATTTATATGGTCGTTGTATCTATACTTAGTACAAATGTATATGTGTATATCCATCCAGATAGCTTTGTATATATTCCTTGAAGAGCGCACTGCAAAGTTTTGTGTGTTTCCAAATTTGTTTTCGGTTGCTGCTTTGTCTTAAGAGTTTTGTTTATTTCACAAGCATTAAGATAACCAGAGTGTTTTATGGTTGTGTAAAGCAGAAATGTAGGGCAGCAGCTGGAGGTGTATCTGTAGGTTTTCATAAAACAAAGCCCTTGAAATTGTATTAATAAATATTATTACTTCGAAAGAAAGTGGCAAGGTTTTTAAATAAATTTCGTATTAGATCTGGTGAGATAATGAAAAAAAACAACGTCTTATGAGATACGCTACTATTAATTACATACTACCTAATGTGAAAATGCACTTGGGGCAATGGAATTGGCATTAAGCGCCGAACCTCTGATTTGACAAGTTATTGTTGTAACAGCATACAAATTAACCAACGATTTATATTTGCATCGTTAAAGTAGTTCGCATTGTCGTGGGAACCTTAACTTGGCAAGTCTTGATATTTGATGGCAGAAGGAAATTGTGCAATAAAAACCAAGCAAAATAGATTGTATTTGAAATCTAGTGGTACATACATATGTAGATATAAAATCTTTATTTTCAGTTTTATTAAGTACCGTTAACTTATCCATTTTAAAGTATAGTTAAATCATTAGTTAAACTTGTGTACAGAACATGCTGAAATTTCTTCGAGTTAAATTTAACTAATGATTTAACTATAGCCAAAAATAAATAAGTTAACGGGCTTAGGTATGAATCATTTCAGAAAAGTTTAAAATCCTAGCTAACCCTGTAGTGGTTTTTGTTTAATTTTCGGTTTTATAACTAATTAATTTCTCTTTAATTTAAGAAAAGGCTCGTTTTTGTTACACAAACATTTTACCCTCATTTCCAGTTTTAAAAAAGAGTGAACTGCAACAAGCCTCATTAACACTGGTGACTAAATCGAACGCCGTGCTTGCAAAAGTTAAAACTGCAGCTTGCGTTGATCAAACAAAGGAAACTGCCATTTATCCAAAGAAGGAATGTATGTGTAAGTTGAGTGTGCTTGGACTGGAAAATAAGGAGATACAAACAAAGAAACTTCCAATCAAGCATTGAACTTTTAATTTCTCCTGTGAGAACAGCAAAGAGTGCCAGCAACTAACGAGCCAACTTAGGTAAAACCACTTTACAAGTCGCAAAGCCACATCGCAAAATTATTCTTTGTATTGGACGCGGAACAGCACGCAAATTTGTTGCTTTTGCCCATTCCAAGTAGGGAGTAATAACAAATAAAAAGTTTTCATAAAAAAAAAACCAAAGTAAAACATAAACGTCGCTAAAATGCCAGCTGACTCGGTTTCAAGGTGAGTTACCAGGAAATTTATAAAAATCCTACTATGGAAAACACTGAGCTGAAAAGAGGGTGGCGTGTAGTTGAATATGTACATATGTAAATGCATAAATAAATTTTGAATGACCGAACAAATTTACGAAATAGAAGTTTGCAAATGCTTATATTTGTTGTTTCTTTTACATGGCTTACTCTGACTGCCGTCAATTACTGGTTTTCTGCTTTACTGCGCAATTGCTTAAATTGTTTCATATGTAATTGGAACTATGTGTGTGCTTAGGTATTTTAATTAGTCAAAATGAATATGAATATTCAATATAGTATATTATATGAAACTTTCAATAAAATGACCAAAAAAATTTGTAGGGCGATTGTGGATTTACTTACATAGCTTATATTTATCTGTTGTCGTACGCATATGTTTAAAGCATTTTATATGGTGTTTTAAATTATTATTTTTTCACATTTAAACAAGCCAATCTTTTAAATCAAAAACACTTTTAAAATATGCAAAATAGGTCCAAAATAAAACTAAAATGTATTGTAAAACTGAGACTATAATATAAAATATGTTGTTGTTGTTGTTGTTGTAAAATATGTAGCTCAATTTAGCGAATGCAATCTCGCTGACTCTAATCTTCTTTGCCAATTAATCATAGATCGGTATCAGTATATTGCATAAAATTATACTTCATTTCAGAATGAACTCGTCCGGTTCTGGTGGCGAGGCTAATACGCCCGAGAATTTGCTTGGTACCTCACCTGGTGCCTCAAGTTTACGTAGCCGCACTGAGAGTGAAAGCTCTGATAAGTAAGTGACTATATCGTTGCACATTAACTTCTTTTAAAATATAATTTATAATATTTTAAACAGATTGGCACGTTTCATTTTGCCCAGTATGGACGGTAGTCCACCGAAGGTGCTTACACTCCACGAAGTGGGTGATGTGCTAAAAAATATACAGAATATGGAGCTGGTGCATGAAATTGCGATCAACCCAGAGTTTAAGTTTGAGCCATATGAACCACCAGAGAACAGGTAAGGCATTAATGCCACCACAACTTTCACATTTGGACTAACACATGACAATTATTTTCTACTTTACCTTTAGCCTTGAACGTCTCATCAAGGACATCATGCACAAGGCCTTCTGGGATGTGCTGCGCAACCAGTTGAATGAAAATCCACCTTGTTACGATCACGCTATCCAATTGCTAGCCGAGATTAAAGATTGTTTTCCCCAAATTCTTTCGCAAAATAATACACGCGCTTTGGAGCACATCAATGAAATACTTGATATCGACGTTATAAAGCAACAGGCAGAGGAGGGTGTGCTCGATTTCCGATCATATGCCAATTTTGTCATACATGTTATGGCAAAGTCATGTGCACCCGCAAGGGATGAACTTGTGCACCAGCTGACCGAAATTGAAGATGTGGTGCATACTTTTAAGAATATACTCGAAACTATGGCGCTAATGAAATTAGATATGGTGAACTGTTTATTGGACTTTGCGCGCAACGACATAATGGCCAGTTCGGTGGAGTATGAGAAGCAGAAATTTAAAGAATATTTAGAGTATTACAAATGTAAGAAAAAAAGTGCAAAAATGCAACCAAATTTATTAAGCTTGGCATTGAAATTTCTCTCTTCTGTCTAGTTGGCTTCCCGGCTACTGAAAACTGGTTGAAGAACAGTTGCATGCATGATGCCAACAATGTGCCCTGCTCACCAGAGCAAACCATTTCCAATGCTTACATGGAGCTCATGGATTGGGATGAGTCAAAAGAATTTCCAGAGGTGCTTTCAATTGACAAGGAACGTATTTTAAAATTGGGTCAACGTGCAAAACGTATTTGTACATGTGCTGCAGTAATTTCTATTTGCTCGGCAGTACCGATTATTTCGCAGCGTTCAGAAAACCGTGCCGCACTCGCCAAGCAAGTTGAAATCATCTTGCAAGACACGACCAATGAGAGGTAAGTAAAGGAGGGAACTAATAGAGAGGATTTCAATTTACTTTGTGCTATTTCCTAGTAGAGAGCTCTTGGATTCGGTTGAAAATGTTTGGCTGCAAGTTAAATCTGTTATAAACGAATACTTGCAAAAAGACAATCAGCCTGTGATGGACGCCAATACGGAAGGCATGTTGAAGTCACAGATATTGCAAACGGGTAACAAAGATTCACCTGTGCGCGCTCTAATTTGTAAGTTATATTGATGCTCACTTGCATACATAAGAGCTTGTCAATTTAATATATTTCGAAAAGGCTGCCAAATTGAGAAATTTTAGAAAGAAGTTGCCTGAACAGTCACACCTTGCATATAAAATGTATTTCGAAAGGTTTTTTATTTCCGAAATGCGAATTACAGATTGCTAGTGCAGCATGAGCAAGTTAAAATATATGTATGTATTTCCGAAATCGATATGCGCTTGGAGTCACATCTTACAACTTTTATTTCTGAAACTGATTTCCGAAATGTATCAGAAAGGTCTTTTTGGCTGTTCACACATCGAAATAAATTTTATCTTTCTCAATTTGACAGCGAATTGCGTGGAAGAGTTGGAAATATTGCCACGACTAACACGCTCTATACAGTATACAAAATAATAGCAGTGAGATATTTCGACCAGTAGCTCGTTTCTGTAAGAATATACCTCATTCTCTACTATTCATTAGCAGTAGAGAACAATCATATATGAATTCGCCTTGGTAGAGAATTGTTACAGAAACGAGCTACAGTTTGGACCACATATTTGTCTTTTGTTTATTTAATGTTTAGAAAAAAATATGTTATGCAGCTTTGTAGCCTATTAAGTTGTAGTATAATGAAGTGCAAGTTTCAAGTTGGTAAAACATCCCATTGACTTTTGAAAATGTTTTTGCTGGCAGTGTCTTCCATATAAGTAAAAGAAAATTGTCGAACATACTTTGTATGGGAAAAAAATGCGAAACACCTACAACCACAAATATTCTGAAAAACAAACGGGATTTTTCAGCATGTTAAAATAAAAAATTTTAATCAGATACGATGTCGTCTGCAGACGAATCGTTCGGGCGGCCTATCGTTCGAGATACATAATAAGGCAGAAAATAAACAAAAGATAAAAAATAGTCAAAACTGATCAAAATATCACACTCCTATTATTTTGTGGACAACTGTTCATACATACAAGTACTAGTATGGGACCATCTCTCTGAGGTACCACATTTCCTTAAAGAAATATATATATTCCGACGAATTGATAGATAACCTCCTCCTTTTTTGAAGTCGGTTAGTAATTATAAATAAAATACAATTGCTAATTACTCTTATATCAACAGGGAAACGCTTTCAAACCTACTTCCGCTTGGCTATGCGCTCTAGAGCTGGTTTGCCACCGCCACCGCCAGGCTATGCTGACTTCAAAGATGAGTTGGAGGCTTATAGCACTGCCCTAAAACGCGTGATTGCCTACAATCATTCCGTCTTCGGTGAATACTTTATGAAAATCCTAACACAACCTCGCATTACAAACAACGAGGCAACCACAAGCGATGCATCAGCGGCCGTAACAAGGGCCATAGAGTCCCCGGAGGCAGCACCTAGTGGTCCTGCTGCTACTCCGACGGAGGAGAAGGCTATCAATAGCCAATAATGGAATTACCCAAGCGTATTGCAAATAATAGGTGGCGATTGGCTGCGGTTATGAGTGGTGCGGGTGACAAGTGCTGCCATTGGCACAAAATCGTTTAGAAAAACAGATTTGTGGTAGACGAAGAAAGTAACAATGCCCACAATGCTGTGCCAGAAATGCGTGCACATGTATGTATGTGTGTCAGTTAGGCAACGAAGTTATCTGGACAGCTGGATTTAGCACTCCTTTAACTATGGCAGAAACGGATAATATTAGAAACAAGACAATTTAATTAGGAAAATGAAGAAATGCAAAATCGAATACCGTCGAAATTATTAAAAAAATTAACAAAATTACAAATTCACTCATTAAGCGCACGTGCTATTATTTAAAAAGAACTATTTAACAAAATTAGTTAATAAAGAGAAAAGCCAAATTAATTGTGGAAATATACATACAGATAAAAAAAAAATAGAATTTGAGATTATATTAAAATGGCAGAAATGCGTGCTATTAATAAAAAAAAATTTATGTTAAAACGCAGTCGCACATACATATGTATGCATAAGAAACAGAATACTTTAAAATAATTCAGCGAATATATCGTTAGTTTTTAGGCTTTATATGTTAACATTTTCAAGAATTTTTGCAGATGCCTGCTAAATATTGACAAGAAAGTTATTTATGAATTGAACTCCCAACTTAACCACCAATCAACCACATTGAAGTGATATCGTTTTTAATTTACCACAATTTAACGAATAAATATTGTCATTTCCGCATACCTAGAACATATGCATGTAAACCTACTAAATATAATGAATTGAAATTTTAGAGAAAGGATAGTAGCATTGCAAATGAAATGACGCAGTCAGGTTATTGTTATAATTTAGATAAAATATTTTAATTTTTTTGTCGACATACGATTTCTTAATTGGAAATGTGTTGTGATAGTAAAACTTCTTACCCCCATTTTTATTAAATATAATATACATACATAACTATATATAATACATATACAAGCAATTATGATATACAGGCGGTATAGTAACTACATAATTATACAATATTACACATTATATCGATTCATTGATGCGTTGAACAAAACATCTTTAAACACCATATGAAAATAATTTTTATCCTAAAAATATATACAAAAGTAATATATGAAACATAATAAATATCTATGAAAAAATTTAAAACATCATATTTTTTCTTTGTAACTTAAGGCCGAATTCACAGTGCGTAGTTAACTCAGAATCGGCAGTTAACTACAGATTTTCAGTACAGAATTTGGCCCTTAAAATATTAGATTTGAGTATTAAACAGGTGTCTCACCACACGAAGGAGGCAGTCAATGTTGCGAAAAATAGAAAATTGCAAGCAGCGGTAACTACTGAAGATTAAGTTGAGCTGATAAAACTACAGCTGGTTCCACGTACCGGAATGACTGGGGTTTTACCCGACCAAGTGCTGTTGTTTCGGCGATCTAACTCCGTTTAGCAAAACAACATCAACACAACGACACCGCACTCCCACCAGAGTAAGATCGATCGGTTGGTGACTTTAACGTGCACCACGATTTTTGGAATTCAAGCCTGCGCAGATTAACGATTCGACATTCAGCACAATGAACTACGACGCACTCACCATGATAATGGGCATTTGCAGTAGCTCGCCTGATATAACCATCGTAAGCGCTGGTCTGATAAACAGCATAACGTTGCGACCTATGCTGACCCTAACATCAGACCACCTGTCCGTAATCATCTCGATTGATAAACCTGCCGACTTTGCTTCCGCGGAACACCGAACCTACGTCAACTTTTGTAATGCTGACTTAACGGCTTTGCGAAAGATACTGCTGAAAGCACCTTCTCTGCTCGCCCTATGCCAACCGACGTTCACGTAAGTTCTGCCGGGTTGTCACTGCCGCTGCAGTCCACTTCATCCCGGCTGGATGTATTTCGGACCCTCGATGAGCGTGACAACCTTCGCCAGGCCGATACCGGAAATCCCCGCATTAGGGATCTCAATACGAAGATTCGGCAACTTGTGAACGTACATAAGCGGAAGAAGTGGGAAGAGCAACTGAAGACTTGCAACTTCACTTCTGATGTGAACAAGCTTTGGTCAATCGTGAAGTCACTGCCCAATCCGACGAAGCGCAAAGTGGAAGTCTCTTTCGGACACCATGCTTCGTCGGACCCGGAGCTGTGGAATGTGGATGCTGAAGCTGAAAAAATTGGGTCCTGCGAGAGTAGACTATCTCACCAAGGTCTTCAATTTCTCCATGGCCACTCATCTTTCCAGATATACAGAAAACCCATTGCTCAAACCGGGGAAACCGTCCAACAAGGGACAGTCTTATCGTCCGATAACTCTCCTTTCCCGGTAGCGAAGACACTTGAGGTCTTGCTACTATCGCACTACACGTACCACCTGACCCCAGCGATGCATCAGCATGGGCTCCGTTAAATTCACAGCACAACAATAGCACTCAACGCCATAAACACCCAGATAACACGTGACGTTAACCGAAACCGCTCCTGTGAGAGAACAGTCCTAGTAGCGTTGGATCGGTCAAAGGCGTTTGACACCGTCAGTAACTCCACGCTACTACAATACATTGAGACTACCTCTCTCCCCGAAGGACTCACAGGGTGGTCGGCGAATTATCTGAGGTCGACATTTGTCAGTAATTTTCAGGGAAAAAAGCAGCAAACTAAGGACAATTAAACAGGGGGTCCCGCTGCTGTTTAATTTTTATATATCAAAGCTCTCAACAACCAGAGGGAGTCTCGATTGTCTCTTATGCTGGACTCGAATTGTAACATCCGTTCACAGATCGAAACCATACGAAAGAAAATTTCGTGATACGTCAGTCTTATAAGCTAAAGAGGATAAAGAGTACGTTCACGTATGTCATAATCCGAAAAATGTGTGTTTTACGTCACGAGTAATACAATATCGTATGTGACGATTCGAGCCCTGACGATTGCTCGATAATCCGCACTTGCTTCTTCACTGCTAGGAGACTAAGACTCTCCCCTACGAAATCCACGGCAACCCTCCTTTATACCTCCTGGACGAAGGAGTTCAGATTGCAGCTGGGTATTCATGTCGACGGCGAACCAATTCCAACGGTGAATAACCTGAAAATCCTCGGAGTTACCTGCGGCAGTCTGCTCTCCTTCTCGGCGCATACAACCGCAATTGTCAATCGAGTAAAGAGCCGCATAAAGAAACCTCTGGACCCAACTGCATACCGACAGGTCTTAAACGGCATTCGCAGGGAGCCGGTCTCAACTTACATAGACTTAAGACCTGTGAATGCCGCTTTAAGCACAAAACCACTCGACGTGGACGAGACAGAGCTTTGTCTGTCTTGGGAGACTCACACCACAAAGCCCAAATTCGCTGCATCGGACTAAACTCGTTCCTGAGCAGAGTGAATAAAGATGACTCACGGCACCTCTTCGCATGCCCGTAAAATCCCACCCAGCGAATGCCACTGTCCCTATGGACAGACCCTCTTCAAGTTGCGCACTTCTTGGGCCTTCACTTAGAAGATTCAAACATAGTTTGGTTTTGTATACATTTCGTTTATTTGAAGTAAAACCAAAAATAAATGTTAAAACATTAAAAAATATACAATACAATGATTAATATAATATAATAGTGGAGTAATATATAATTATGCATGTCCGCACGTTTGTATGCATGGATATTATAGTGTAATATTCATTGATATCACCGTGCGACAAAAACAAAAAAAAAAATTTTAAACACACGAAAGAATCGATATACTCACAAGACTATGAGCCAAATATAGTAAAACTGTATTTTTAGTTTTTTACTCTAACGACAGGATTTTTTTTCAAAGGACCTGGAAATCTTAAAGATATGTTAAATTAAAAAATTTATTTTAAAAAATCAGTGCAATGTAGAATAAAAATATGGGGACCAAATGAAAAAGAAAATTCTGTAGAAGTTAAAAACAATAAAGTTATTTGGTTTGCAAGTACGAAAAAGTATGCAAAATGCGCTTTTAATAAATTTTATCTTTTTAAGTTAATAAAGTGGTATATTATTCGTCACCGAATTAATTTTTTCAAAAACAAATATTGCAAATTTTCAAAGATATTTAGGGACAAAATTTGTAAAGGACATTTTCCATACCCATTCGGCCTTATGCACCAAAAAATGTATTTCTTTATAATTCTACAGATTTTTTTCTTTTTTATGATACCCTTATTGTTATTCAACATTGCAGTGAATTTTTTAGATAATTTTTTGAAATAATCATATTTTTTAAATTTCAAAGTCCTTTAAAAAAAAATTTTACGTCAGAGAGAAAAACTAGGTACGTAGTTTTACTATAATTTGCCCATAGTTCCGCGAATATATTCATTTTTTTGTGTGTAAAATTTACTGTCGCACGGTGTATTCAATAGTTTATTTAACATGATCATTATTGTTACTAAATAGTTTTATAATCGATATTTGTATACATATACATACATATTAGGGCGGGTCGAAAATCTAATTTTTCTCAAATCCCTTGGTAATAGTGAAAATATATTGTATCATGAAGTCAACAACAAGCCTGCGAAATATTAGTCTTCCATTTTAATTGTAAGAGCCCGCGCATCGACCGCCAAGTGACCCACAGCACACTAGTCGAATAAGACCAATTCTTGTTAAAAATTCTGGGTTTAGCCAAAAATTTTGGTGCATATTATTAGATAATGAATCCTTTAACGCAAAAGATAAAGGCAAGTATCATTTCGCGCAGCCCTTTATCTTATCGTTAATCTCAAACTCATCTATTTTCA